AACTGGGGGGTGGATGGGGATCTTGTTTTCGTGGCTCTTCACCTGTGTACAGGCACAAGACCTGTCATATCGGCTCCTGCTCTCACCAGCTCTGCTTCCACCAGCAGCGATGCTGCCACCTCCAACTACATTTGACTGGAACATAAGGGGGGGCTCTGACTGCACCAGTGGCATGGGTGTGCAAACCCTGCTGTCTAGTTCTGTCCTCCAGCCTCCCACCAACAGCCAGGGACTGCAAAGCTTCTCATGGGCACCCTGATGCTACCAGAGCCCAAGGGGTCTCCACAGGTTGTATGTCAATATGGGATGGGGCAGGAAGATGACAGAGCACTGTGGGACTCCATCTGTGAGGAGCCTGACAGCAAATATGACATTTCCCATCGTTGCCCTTTTGGTACAGCTGCCAAAAAAGACTTCAGACCTCTTCACAAAATTGTCCCTGGCTCCTCCTGCCACAGCGTGGCACCTGCCTCCAACGTGCAGCTGTGGTGGACAGTAATGAATGCCACAGAGAGCTATCTCACTTCACCACCATGCACGAGAAAAGGCACGAGCCTTGTCATCTATGGACAAGAAGAAACCACTCCTCAAGACAATTAAACTCTGCTTCTTCTCCAAATCCCAGACAGGTGCTTCACAGCTTGCTGGGCAAGGAGACAGAGGACTAACAAGCATGGGGGGGCTCTTCCAGGCACCCCCCATGGTTGCAGGGAAATGCCCAGCCTCATGGGCAATACTTCTGGAGGATCATGGTGCCATGGAGACACATTCAGCATTCTCATCATTCAGATGCCAGGAAGGTCCCCTTGCCATGGGCAATGTCACAGGGCATTCCTTCCCCAGCCAGGCTGGGCGTCAGTTGTCTGATGGGATGTTTGGGACTTAGGAGCCAGAACCCCATCCTCAGACAGGGCAAGCTGGGATCCCCTGAAATGCCTCCTGCATCACAAGTACCAGGAGTGAAATCGCTGACCACCTGATTCCCTTCAACAGAGCACAGAGGCCTTCTCAGGGGTGAGGGTGCTGCTTGCCAGGCCCAGAAATGCCCAGGAAAAGCAGCTTTCCCAGAGAAACCAGACAGGGGATGACTTGGAATCAGAGAGATCTGAGGCAACGCTGACGGTAGAAGAAAATAATTCAGACAACACATGGGAATTGTCCTTTGTAGAGAGGAATTGCACTCGTATCTCCGAGACTGGATTTTTCTTTCATTTTTGCTGCTTTGGATATCAGAATGAACATGCCCATGCACACACACTCAAATCCTAGACTATATCCTTCTTTTAACCTCTGACTGGCCAGAAAATAGCCCTTTATCCAGTCAGGTGCAGAAGTGATCAAGCAACTGTCCCCCACATGACATTATCACCTCTCTCGGGTCAGTTTCTTCCAGCATCTTTACATCCTACAGGATTGCCAAGATATATTGCAACCAGAAAGGAAGCCACTGACCCTGATGAAAAGCATGGCTGCCTTTGTGCTGAGCAATACAGGATGCTCCTCCCTTGCTCTGTTTCTCCCTGCTCCCCAGACACAGCCATCCATTAGCCATCCTCCCTACCACATGTCTAACACATCGGGGATTTTTTGTTTTAAATAAATCTCCCACAGAATGGATGAAAGAAAGACAGGCAAAGAGCTTATTGTGTTTAGGTGGAGCAAGGGGAAGGGTACCTCATGAAGATGGGATGATGAGGAGCAGCCCAGACCAGGCATCTGTTTGCAGCTAGCCAGCCCCAGTGCAGACTGAGAAGTGATGCCACCTTATTGCAGCAGAAAGGCAGGTCAACACAGCTTTTACCACCATGCCCTTTTTTGGTGACAAATGACCTTCATCTCTGATGCCTTTATTAATAAAAGGTCTAGAGCAGGGGGCAGAGAACCCACTTTCACCAGATTTATGACAGCAGAGAGCTACTTTGCACACAGTTCTCTACTGACTATATCCAGCTGCCTCAGGTGGCCAATCAGGGCCTGGGTACAGGCAAGGCTTTATTTAAATCTGGTCTCCCACTGTGACAAAGAATATTTTGGACACAACTTGGGCTTCCATCTCAGCTAGTTGCTCTGCATCCAGCAGCTGATCCATCTGTTAAACCTACCTCCTTGCAAAAGGTGGGGACAACTGGTCTGTCTAAAGCTTCTGGCTCCTGGGGGAAGGTGAACATTTATATTCCTGCTCATTGCCCAAGGCTGGGGAAAGGGAAGAAACTTTCTGGCATGTCTGCTGCTGTAAAATGAAAAGAGATCAGGAAGGAGACAGGCAGCTCCTGCCTCATTCCAGCCTCCCTCACTCCTCTACCCAGAACAAGAGCAGCTCCTCTGTCAGGAGATGAAAACATTGCAAGAAATTAAGGCAAAGGATTTTTAAAAAGGGATCAGAAGAGGGGAGGAAGAGAGGAAGTACTGGAATGAAAGGCAGGAAGAAAGCCGAGATGATTTACAAAGCCACATATCGGGAACCTCACTGCTGCAGTGTGTGATTGTGCTGGGCGGTGTCACATGAATCTGCTGGGAGACCTCCATGCTGTAGTTCAGATAAGAAACCAAACATTTGTTTTTTATCTGACTTGATCCTGAACTTCATAGCCTTTGAGATCCTGCCAATCCCTCTCTCTCCTCATCCTGTATGTGGTTTTCCAGCGTGGAAGCTGATTTTGCTTTATGTGTTTGCAATGACAGGTCATGAATCAAAACCATGGAATGATGCAATATCACATGGGACCATGGGTTCAGGTCTCTATATTTTAGGGACTAAAGAAGACTGCTAAGAAAAGCCTAGAAATTGGGACCAGTTTCAAGGTCCTACTTATTAAGCCATTTTTATAGAAGTCACAAAATATATTGAGCTAACTGCATTTAAAATCCTCCAGCTGTCATCCGTCACACAGCTTACTTGAAAAGCCATCCCCTGCAAAGTTGTCGCATTTTTACCCCCCCCTCCCAGTGTCTGCATTTATGGAATTGATACTTGCTGAGGAGTTGGTACTTGGAAACCCTCCCTCCTTAATGGAGAGGCATGAAAGGTTGGCACTTGGCTTAGTTGAAAATGGGAAGTGCTGAGGGTCTGTACTGAATACAAATAAAAAATTACAAGAGGAAAAGTTTCAAATTAACGTCCCGACACTTCACATTATTCTTCAGAACAGCTCGGTCCTTGCTTTGATCTCAGGATTACAGGCAGGCGGGGCCTGATCCGTAGCTACACAAAGAACCTGCTGCACTACGCTGGCAACAGGCATAGCCCCTAAAATAAAACCCTAAGTATGTGGACACTCATTTGCAGACCTCTGCCAGCACAGCAGAGCGAGATCTTCATTTTGGGACATCAGGGGGTGAATCGGGCCCCTGCAGCCAAACAAGAGCACATCACAAAGTCTGGTTTCTCTCAAATCAAGAATTTCTCTCCGGAACGATTTCTCTTTTCATTCCCACCTGACTAATCCCAGGCTGTGTTCTTCAGGCTTGCTCTCCTTGCAAGACGAGCAGGACAACAGCTACCAACCACATCTACTCTTTAGAAAATGAATTCTTTATGGCACCTTTAAACTAAATGCTAATTTATTCCTCATAGGTTCTTACGCAGCATAATACAACTCACCTCAACTTCCAATTATTTTTAAACTCCTGGAAAATTGTCTAACAGTTGATATGATATCAACACTGACAAAATATAACTTTAAAATGGTATAGTGTGGGTTTTTTAAATTCACAAATTTTATCTGAATCTACCTTCATTTTTAAGACACAGGATGTAGAGTAGAAACGGTATTGCCCTATTTGCAGTCCTACCTAAATACTGGAACAGGTATTATATTAACTGTGCCTTTTCAAGACCAAGAGCGATGTTTTGAGAAAGCGCATAGCACCTCTAAGTCCTGACATTTCAGTAGGGACGCAGAACGCTGCACTCCTGAAAATGAAGGCCAAGACGGTCACACCAAAGGGAAGCAATTACAGCCAAGATTTGAAATCTGAGACACTCAAGATTTCATTTCACAAGTCAACATATTTCTCCAATTAAATATTGAATAGCTGCGACTATAAAAAACCTATGTGGATCTCGAAGTGAAGTATTATACTCTGGTAAAAGAGAACGTCAAGGCCAGAGCCAGCAGTAGGCAGCTGCTCCGATGCAGGTTGTTCTAGCTAATCATGTAGATCATCCCTCCGCTCTGTTGCAGAAAAGAATGCCCTTATTGCTGCATTAAGAGGCAAACTGCTGAAAATTGGGGTTTATGTCCAAATTTGTGAAGCAGCAGCAGTGACTAATTTCTACTTTGGCAGATTCAGAATGCCCTTTTATACGAAAAACAAACCCAAACATATTCTTGACTCCAGAACAGCCCTAGATCATGCTTTTATATATATACATAATAATAAGGCAAAACAGACACTAAAAACATATCCTGGCAATAAATACTTTAAGACTTCATTAGAAAACGAAAAGGTCACATCTCATACACAAAACCGTCAAATTATCTAGGTTGACATTTACAACTAATTTGAATCGACGTTAGCATGAAAAATACAATTTTACTGCAAGAGGTAGTCTTACCTATAAGTTTAAATGTGCCCTTTAAGCATTAATGCTGAAAACAAAGCACTGAAAAATATCTGCAGCCTTGCCAATTACATCTCAGCCTTTTACAGCAAAGCAACGTGAAGCAGGCAATTAGCAGAAGATTTCAGCCACTCATTAGCAAGCAGAACCCGACAATAAGAGAAAAAGAAACCCAAAACACCCCTATGAGCTCTGAGGAGCAGATTACGGGCTCAATCCAGCTGTGAGATATTCAGGCACCCATTACCATGCAACCAGCTTATCCACGGATGTGAGCAAATACCAGGAGCCGATTTTGCATCGCACACAGCGACAAGCCGGAGCATCCATGCACCTCTCCAGGCAGTAACAGAGCCCTCTGCCTGCCTGCTCGCTTGCACTAGGAAAGAGAGACACATTTCGCACGCAGCAGACGTTTTTTTTGGGGTGGACTTACTTTAACTGTCGAGGTTCGCAGTCAACTCCCGGCAGCAGGAGCCTCGCCGCCTGCCGTACGTCATCACTGTCCACGGAGAAACTGCGACGGTGCCCCGCGTGAGCCACGGCAACCCGTATCCACTCCATCAGGGGAGGCAGCACAATGAACGGCCTGGGAAGGCACACAGACATGAATGCTACAGTGCACTGGCATCAAAATAACAGGGGAGAGAGAGGGTAGGGGGGTGCCTGTGTATATAACGTGCGTGAGAATAGATCTACAGAGAGAGAAGGAAACAAGAAAATAAAAGCATGGGAGAGCAAACCAGCTCAGCAAATTTCAAGCAGGTCTAAATCAAGATGTCTCACACTGTCTCCGGAGCAGGGTTATTTGAAGAGTGAGATTTATGAGCCAGGCTCATTTTTGGGGCTCCTGCGAGGTCAGTGCACCCGCCTGGCAAGCCCTTTCTCCCCAGCCCCCTGTCCCCCATCCTTCACACAGTATATCCTGAAAAGAGGGCAGGAGCCTGGCACAGGACCACATCCTGCTCTGGCTGACGCGCTGGGCTGGGTACGCTCCCTGCCACTTTGCAATAGGGATGGGAGAACAAATCAGGGCAGGGAGAGGGGATGCCACCACCCCAAGATGCCAGGGGTGTGGAGGTGATGCGTGAGGAAGTCTCCCACATCTCCTATCAATGCAACACGTTCCTCATGCTCAGAGCTGGAAGCGGGGACCTTTGCAGCTGATCCTGCTGTATTACTGAGATAATCTATGAGTAGCGTCAGAAATCACTGTTCCCTTTCACATTTAGCGCTACCAAACTGCCACACCTTCGGGTACCAGCGTTTCTGCCACTGGAGGGAAAATACACAAAACTGCCCCTGAAAGTGGGTGGTGGGACTCCAGGCCACATCTCCCACTTGAGCAAGGCATGGACACTATCAGAGACATGGTCCTCCCCTCCACAAGACCTGGACAGCCCCATGTCCTGGTGGGAGCTGCCCAAGCCTTATCTGAAGCACATAGCACACACCTTGCCCCCATCTATGCTAAAAATTACCTGGGGGCCAAGAGAAAAATGCCAAACCTTAAGTGAAAACCACAGTTTCACATCCTAGTTTGGAGTTCAAAAAAAACCCCCAAAAATAAAATCTGCAGCTGAACATCTTGGAAGGTCGCTGCTTGTTAGATCAAGGTGGATGCAATCCCCAGGGCAATGCAGGCTGCAGCAGCTGCCCTCCCGTCCTCAAGAGGTTTTCGTGCCCATTTCATCACCTAGCTGGGGTGTCCAAAATGGTATCTCCTCCACAGATGTACACAGGAGACAAAGTCTGTGTGGAGAAGGGTAGAAGAAATCCCTCTTTATAAAAATGTACTATGCATATCTAAAAATTGTAAAATAATTAAAAAATAATAAGTCTGTCCAAGAGCTACTTGAAAACTATGCTGAAAGTGCTGTATTTAGTCAGGACTGCAGAAAACTATTTATACACAGTAAGATGGTTTCATCCACACTGTGAAGTAAATACCATGGCTAAGGGATGTTAACAGAGATTGCTATAGTATGTAAAAGAAAAATAAATAAATAGTTTTTAAAAAAAGAGGTGAAACTTGTAAAGGACCACAGTCCTCAAGGAATGTCTGCAATTAACCTGCTCCTACCTACTTCTTTCTGAACCTTCTTCTAGTGGCTCATTTCCTATGTGGCTCCCTTTCCTCTCTTCCTTTACTGTATATTCTCATATTCCCTCTGCTTATTAGCTAGTATATCATCCTAATACTGAAAACGTTCCTTTTAATGCAGCATCATCCCCCACTATTGCTCCCTTCCCTTCTACTGCTCCTTTTCATTCGATATTGCTTTCCTTGACTTGCCTTCCCTTACGCGGTCCCTAATCTCAGAGAGAAATGGGAAAGAAAAAAAAAAAAAGTCTGACTTAAGTGCCCAGTAGGCAAATATTTTACATTTTAAATACATAACTTTACCCCAAAAGGATCTACCCTGAGAAAAATTATTTAAGATGATGTTGATTCTGGAATATCCTTTTCCTATTTATAGCTCTTTATGCCATTTATTTCTCTTTTGAAGACTTGACTTTACATAGCTCTGATATTAATATTCCTAAGGAGCAATGAGATGTTTCACAAGCGCCAAAGGACAGAGAAGCCCTGAGGCCACTAACTTTCCCCAGGATGCTGGGTTCCCAAATCTCGGGGGCGGTTAAATGAGCAACCTCCTTTTAAAGCATGACATCTTTGGCTGACTCGCCACTTTCACCATCATTCTATTCCAACTCATCACCTTCACCTCAAGAGCAGGCTGCGTTTGTTTCCAAGGATGTTTACTCCCCCGAGACCTGCTGCGGCCATGCAAAGAGTCAGATACGGACAGAACTTTTTCCCACAGCTCCCTCAAGACTATTTCCATAACCCATCTTATTCATTGTGACAGCAGCAGCAGTCAGAAGAGGGAGAGGGGAGACACAGCGGTGTAGGTACACGTCTTTGTGTGTCTTGGGAGCAGAAGGGACCCTCTCACAGCATTAAGGAGCTGGGGACAACTGATGGGTGGGAGTTGTGTTCATCCCTTGCTGTGCCAACAGCAGGAAGCAAGCTGCAAATCACACTGGAAGTGTAAAACAGCATACAGTTACCCACAAAGCCTGGTGCTAGGAAAACAAAGGGAAACTCAGTTCTAGGCTATGGTTTGCATGAGCAGTCTGGATCAGAGAAAACTTCCTATAACATCTGCTGGACGAAGGGAAAAGCAGAGGGCTGTGGCTGAACAGGGGTTCGGGCATTTGTGCTTTCTCCTCCTCTTGTGCAGGTCAGAAACTCGCCCAGCAGAAAATCTGCCCCACCGCAGCAAGAAGCAGAGCAAATAAAATTATTTACAGGAACTATGATAATTGCGCTATAAAACTGCCTTCTTTTTTTCCTTTCCTGGTGTTGCAAACATCAATACAGAAGCAGAAACGAACATGGCTATTTGGTGCAATAAATCTCATAATGGAAGATGCTCAGTGTTCTGTGGAAGCAGGGGGATTTTCTCTAAAGACCAATTTCAGTCCCTACACAAGGACATGGAGTTCACTCAGAATATATTACATTCCTTTTTCCGAGGCAAAAAAAACCAAACCCGTCACTGCATATCTGAGCATGTCAGAGAATTTGTATTTTGAGAGGAGACCCAAATATGGTTGAGTGCAATAGGTTAAAAATATCCTTCAAGAGCCTATGCACCATGTGAAGGGGATTTTTTTAATGCTGTTTGTGTGAGAGGAGAAAGAGGAACACAAAGTTATAGGGAGGTGACAACCCACAAGACAACATGACACCAGCAAGACATATTTCACTTTTCAAATGACACCACGCGAAAAAGGGTTAGGCGAGCGCGTCACATCGTTGGCGTATACATTGCTTTATCTCTGCTGTACGAAGGCAGGTATCCACCAGGACGGTTCGGTATTTCTGTGTTCCAGAGCAGACAAGTCACCTAATTATAGGTTTTGGAAGCTCACACCTTAATGAAGTTACTCTAACCACAGTAGGGATGTGCTGAGTTTGAGACTCTGCCCAAACAATGTGGAACATCAGGAGCAACTCAGTTGCTGCAGAAGCACCGCACAGGGTCAGCAAGCACTCTGATCTCCTCCTCCAGACCATGTCTGTACCTATGCTTAACTTTAAACGCATGCTCCTGTCCCCTTTAATTTGCTGCTGTTCAGACTTAAGCACGAGCTTAAGCAATGTCCCAAAAAAAGGATGGATTTTGGCACAGGCTTGTGTTTTCCTGAACTGTCGTTCCAGGGGAAAAACGTGCCAGATGGGGATGCAGGGAGAGGTCTCCGCACAGAGCAATCCCCATCCCACACACGGGAGCTGGAAGAGGGATGGGGAGGCCAACATAAAGCAGATCCCAAAGGGCTGTTCCCTCCTGGGCACTGTCTGCCCGGTCCTTGGCAAGCGGGACAGCTGGCTCCTCTGTGAGCATGCCCTCCCTTCCCGGGTCCCTGCTTAAGCAGAAAAGGGAATTATCAGAGCCCCACAAACCCTCACATTGCCAATTCCTCCCTCCACATAGCATCCCTCCCTATTCCCTCCTGCTGTTCCACACCCCTCTCACAGCTATTTCAGGATGGCTTGGGAACAGTGAGCTCCTATGCCGTACAGACATCTGCAGGCAATACCCAGCCAGCAGTCCCCGGCAAGGGACGACTCTTCGCCTTCCTCACCTTTCTCTCCCACCCTGGATATAACACACCCTTCTCCGCATCGCCCTCGGACGTGGCAGCTCCCCACAGGCACCCAACCCTCTGGCATGGGGCCAATGATGCCTCCACACCCGATCAGACCTCAAACCTCTTTTTTTTTTGATGGGTTGATGTCTCTGGGGCACTCTGAACTACAGAACAGTTCATTAGGAAAGAAAAAGTCATTGAGGGGGGGGCCTGAATGTAAAACATAACCTGTTCCAGTCATGCCACCTTTTGCCCAAAAACCACACTCCTCCCGAGACAAGCGCCGTAGTCCTGGGCTGCCCAGCATTTCCCTTCACAGCTGGCTGGCACACAGAGATGTTGAAAGTCCCGTCATGCACTTGCAATAGTTAGGCTTTTTCATTATTATCATCATCATCATCCTTGGCAGTATACCGTACAGGAGGAATTGCCAGATGGAAGACCATGAGAAACGTGGAGTGTAAAATGCTACAGGATGCTGCACTATTTTTGTGTGGGTCTGTGAGGAGACTGATGAAGCTCCTTTCTGGATGCCACCTGCCTTAACACCAGAGTTGCAAAGCCCTATGGCCAGCACTCCTAGAAACCCCAGCTCCCAATAACCCCTGGCCCTATGTTTTGTCTCTACCACGTTTGCAGGACGCAGACTCCCTGCTTCCCACTGACCTTGACTTCAAGGTCGACCTTGCTGCCCAGTACATCAAGAGCAGGGCCGCCATGCACACCCACCCTATTTTTCTTGACTTCCCAGCAGGTTAAGAAGTTCTTCCTCTCCCCAGTCACTCCCTCTCCCTTGCAGAGAGTAATCCGCGGTTTTTGGCAGGACCCCCCCTGCCAGGAGAACAGTCCGTCCGTCCTCCCAGCTCCCACAGCAGGGGTGACTTCTAAGCTCCCCGCCAGTGGGTGATTCCCTAATCATTTTTGCCA